AAACATTTTAAAAGTGACATTCACTCAATACACTAAAATCACATAGTAAAACATTACTGTATCAAACCATTTCACATACATTTTGTCCTGAGTGCTTTGTCCTGTGCCCTGCCTGCATTTTTAGTGTTCTTTCTGCCTGGAAACTGCTAAACATCCATGGCATCCAAAAAGCGTCCCTTTAGGTCAAAAGCGGTTTTAGACCAACTAGAGAACAGCTATAGTAAATTAGAACCACTTTCGGAATTGAGTGATAATGATTCGTGGGGAAATTAGTTATCAGACACTGAAAACGATTTTGCAACTAAGCTCAGTGATGTGCAAACTTGGCGCTATATATTTCAAATTTCAGTGTTTTTAGTTTGATTACATCATTGAATTAAATGTATTATTATTATATTATTTTTTATGATTATATTTATTATATTATAATTTATAATTTTGTGTTTCAAATTTTATCATACCCGGGATATTTATTAGACTCTTGTTGTTCGGACAGATTTCAGTGAGTTATTCCTAAGAATTACAGGCCTACAATAAAAAAACAACATATTTCCATGCAAAAAAATGTACCGCTTTGAGCACAGAAATGCTGACATAATCATACCGCTAGGGAGGTTAAGAAACTAGCAGTATTTAAGTCCAACTCTGAGCTGGCATCCATCTGTACACCAGTACTCAGTAGGGTGGGGCATATCTGCGCTAGGGAGCTGTCATAAACTGTACCTCCTATCGGCCTGTTGGTCGGGAGATTCCCGAGCCGATACTTAAATGCAAACAAATGGTTGGGAATTCAGGTGATGTCATTACCTAAATATGGCAATTCCCATAATTGGAAAATGACTTGTCACTAGGTAGATGGAGTCTTATCGAGAACTGGGCGGATTCAAAAGCCACTATTGGACAGAATAGTAGCTATGGATGCACCTACTGCTCTGTGTTGTCCATTAAAAGTCTATTGGGGTACTAGTCTTTCAGTTCCCTTTCAGGCTTTGTCAGCCCCTAGTACAGAACTCCTTAGTCATGCACCTGTCAGAGTGATGGACACAGTAGCCAGGGAAGGAGGATAGGAAATGCACCACAGTGCAGGCACCGACAGATTCATGTACCTGTCTCTGACAGGTATATACATTGTCCACAAACACTGTCCTTTTTGGTGCTGTACCTCAACAAAATTCTAAAGGTAGTCTGTAGGAAGGTGCAGTCTGTTTCCTTCATTGTAGGTGGAGCTTGACCAGAGCAATCCCACAGTTGGAGAGGAGGTCAGGAGAAACCTGGTCTCTCTGTGGTTTCCTGGCCCCCCCAGGACAGCATTCCACTTGGCCACGCTGCATTCAGGGGACTTTTGATGGCCATATTGGGTCAGCAGAGCTCTCCCTATTGGGTTGTGTTTGTATTTATACACTCTTCAATACAAGTTTTGAGTTATCCACAACCGGACTCATTACTGCTTCTGCACCGCACTGCACCTACTCACACGTCTATGACACCACTGATGAATTCCATGATTATTCTCTAAACTTTTACCTAAAGACTTCTATTTCTTATAAATAAGATATTGTCCTCTACAAAAAAACAGTAAAATCCTCTCTCTTCAAGCCCTTAACACCACAAAAAATGGTTCCAGCTCACCGCAGCGGACACCTTGTAGAACCTCACAGCCAACAAGGGGATAATAATATTTTAACATGCTCAAATCAGTAACATAACATACATGTTGTCAACTCAGCTAATCCGTACACTAAAAATGTTTAATAGATTGAAAAAAATGTACCTGAAAAAATAAGAGTATATATTTAATTTATTCATTATGCTTTCCTGAATTAATATGTTGCTCAAATGTTAACTAATTGGTGGCAGACTTACAGCCTATCTGAACCCCTAATGAATGATCTCTCAATAGACGTCACAGAAGACTGCTTTCATATTCAGGATTCTATTTTTGTTGAACTTCTGAGAGAACTGCTGTTAGTTTTCAATGTCGTCTTTTTTAAGCCAACACTATGCTAACATCTTGTCATGATACAGATTTCATTTGGCAATGGCTTAGTTGGGAGAAAACACGCTTTGCTCCTCAGATATCTGGATTTTATTCTGCACACTGTGGGGCTGTTTTCTGTGTATACTGGCAGCGACTCTTAATCACCCAGGCGAGTAACTCATTTGAACAGCTGTAAATGTAACCCTAAGGCCATGATGGAATCATACAGAGAGGAGGGGTTGTATTCCACATCCTGCACTGGTCAGAACACATAATAGTCTGCCTGAGTATACAGAAGGAAGCCCAGTATAATATATTAATGTAAACCCAATCAGGAAAATATCACATACGCTTTAACAGGTCAATATAATTTCAGTACTAATTTTCAGTATTTTTAAATCTACATTTTTCATTAAACCATAAAAGATATTCCTGCCATTAGAGCCCTTATTGCGTGGTAATGCTCTGTACCTATTTCTCAGTTGTGCTTCTGCATTGTAACTATCACATTCTGATGCAGACTACAAAAGGCCATTTTAACACACACATTATTATTATTATACAGGATTTATAAAGCACCAGCAGTTTGTGTAGTACTTTGCAATATAAAGGGGGACAGTACAATTACAATACAGTTCAATACAGAAGGAATAGGAGGGTCCTGCTTGTAGAGCTTACAATCTAAAGGGAAGGGGAGATGGTACAAAAGGTAATAGCTGCAGGGGATGATCTGATGGCGGTGACTCAAATACGGCTTTTTTAGGTGGAGGTGGGGCAGGCTTCCCTGAATAAATAAGTTTTCAATGATTGCCTAAAGGCGGACAGGGTAGGAGCTGAGCGGACATACTGGGGTAGGGAGTTTCAGGGAATGGGAAAGGTTCTGTAAAAGTCCTGGAGGCGAGCGTGGGAGAAAGTAACAAGGGGACCTAAAGAGCAGGAAGTCTTGGGAGTGGGGAGGACAATTTGGGCGATATTTGCAGATGAGTTTGGTGACATAGCTAAGGGCAATGTTGAGGATGGCTTTATACTTTGTGGTTAGTATTTTGAATTTGATACGTTGGGCTAGTGGATGCCAGTGAAGAGGTTGGCAGAGAAGGGCAGCATTCTCGGATCAAGTAGTACAGTGTATAAGCCTGTCAGTAGCATTCTTAATAGACTGAAAGGGGGATACCCTGTGTAAAGGAAGGCCAGTAAGGAGGGAGTTGCAGTAGTCAAGGCGGGATATAACCAAGGTGTGAATAGACTGTTTTTGTGGTGCCATTGATCAGGAAAGGGCAAATTTTTGAAATGTTGCGGAGGTTGAGGTGGCAAGATTGATCTCAATGGTAAAGTCATGGGGGGGGGGGGGGGATCAGGGAGGAGGAAATATTACAAATTCAGTTTTACAAAGATTGAGTTTGAGAAAGAGCTGTGACATCCAAACTCATATGTCACTCAGTAAATTTGTGATATGTGAGAAGATTGAGGGGGTGAGTTGGGGAGTAGAGAGATAGATCTGGGTGTCATCAGTGTAGAGGTGGTACTGGAAGCCATGGGAGGTTATCAATTGGCCCAGCGAAGATGTGTAGAGAGTGGACAGGAGGGGCCCAAGGATAAAGCCTTGGGGTACCCCAAAAGAAAGAGGAAGGGGAGTGGAGGAGATGGTGTTGGCTGTGACACTGAAAGTGCGCTGAGGTAGGTAGGAGAACCAGGAAAGAGCAGAGTCACGGAGGACAAGGGAGTGGAGTTTATTGAGAAGGAGCTGGTGGTCAACTGTGTCAAAGATAGCAGAAGGGTCTAAGAGTGATGGATGCTGGTTTACACAAACAAGGGCTGTCACCCGGCCTGAGAAAAGCCATGCAGACAATGCTGGAGTACATGCATACAGAGAAGAAGTGTCAGTAAAAGACTGCAGGGGATATCAGCAGCATTAAAGTACAACAAATAATGAAAATAGTGTTTCTTTATTGTCCACTGATAGACACAGAAAATCTTTGAATTCATAGACAAGCCATTCTCAACCAGGGTTCCTCCAGAGGATGCTAGGGGTTCCATTAACTTTGGTTGATTGAGCTCCCATCTGATGGTGTCTGCGTAGTTCAAGGCCAAAAAACAGCACTTAAATACAATTTTGATTTCTTGCTGTTTTTAAAGGTGGTATTCTGAATACCATTGCAAAGGGGCACAGACCAACTATGTAAGAGGCATTTCTACATTCACCCCTGATGAATTGATTTTAGTAAGGGTTCTCCAAGGCCTGAAAATTATTTTACAAGCTCCTATGATTTAAAAAAGGTTGAGAAAGCATGCCAGATTATACTGCCGCCTATAGGAGATATGGAAAAAAAAAAAACGTTGGCCAGCTCAAGATGTTCCCACTCACATCCATTATGCCTCAGGATCCTGTTTCCTTTTTACATTCTAGATAGAAAACCTTGGGTTCACCGAATTTTCATTCCACCAATTCTGGGTGACTCAAGATGAATGTCATCAATTGTATCGTCTATAAAATTGTATTCCACCCTTTACTACCCAGGTGCATTCTACAGACAACCATTTGATCTTTGTTTTCTCTGCTCTTCTGAGTGGATTTTCAGGCCTCATCTGATGCTAGCTTTGGACATTGGGTCCTTCGGAAAGTTCTTTAAGCTCCAGTCAATCTCTAGTTTTCTGTCTTTTTGTTGGGCCCGTTAGCCTTTGTTGTAACGTTGCCAAGCCCTCTGTTGAAATACTTTTGGATGTCCTGACAGTTTGAGAATTCTAGAAATTCCTGTTTCTCTTAATAGTTTATAAATCTTTTTTTTTCTATTTACCCTAAAATCATTTCCTTTCCTTGGAGTCCATTGAGGGACTCAGGCACTATTTTGCTACAAACTGAGGCAAGATGGACTGGCTATTTCCTGTGTTGACCAATGTTTTTTTTTATTGTTGCTAGGGTTCATTTCTCCTTTCTGTTTCCCTCAATGAACTCCAAGAAAAGGATTTTACGGGCCGTACAATAATTCTGTTATTATTTAAAGTGTTACTGAACCCAGGACTCTGCATTCACTATATCTGGTCTCCCACCGTACACAGAACATGGAAATGCAATTATTTTAGTAAATATAAACTGCTAAATACAGTGGGGCAAAAAAGTATTTAGTCAGCCACCAATTGTGCAAGTTCTCCCACTTAAAAAGATGAGAGAGGCCTGTAATTGGCATCATAGGTAGACCTTAACTATGAGAGACAAAGTGAGAAAAAAAATCCAGACAATCACATTGGCTGATTTGGAAAGAATTTATTTGCAAATTATGGTGGAAAATAAGTATTTGGTCAATATCAAAAGTTCATCTCAATACTTTGTTAAATATCCTTTGTTGGCAATGACAGAGGTCAAACGTTTCCTGTAAGTCTTCACAAGGTTGGCACACACTGTTGCTGGTATGTTGGCCCATTCCTCCATGCAGATCTCCACTAGAGCAGTGATGTTTTTGGGCTGTCGCTGGGCAACACGAACTTTCAACTCCCTCCAAAGGTTTTCTATGGGGTTGAGATCTGGAGACTGGCTAGGCCACTCTAGTACCTTGAAATGGAAGCCACTCCTTCGTTGCCCGGGAGGTATGTTTGGGATCATTGTCATGTTGGAAGACCCAGCCACGTTTCATCTTCAATGCCCTTGCTGATGGAAGGAGGTTTGCACTCAAATTCTCACGATACATGGCCCCATTCATTCTGTCCTGTACATGGATCAATCGTCCTGGTCCCTTTGAGGAGAAACAGCCCCAAACCATGATGTTGCCAACCCCATGCTTCACAGTAGGTATGGTGTTCTTTGGATGCAACTCAGCATTCTCTCTCCTCCAAACACGACGAGTTGTGTTTCTACCAAACAGTTTTATTTTGGTTTCATCTGACCATATGACATTCTCCCAATCCTCTTCTAGATCATCCAAATGCTCTCTAGCGAACTTTAGACGGGCCCGGACATGTACTGGCTTAAGCAGGGGGACACGTCTGGCACTGCAGGATCTGACTCCCTGGCGGCGTAGTGTGTTACTGATGGTAGCCTTTGTTACGTTGGTCCCAGCTCTCTGCAGGTCATTCACTAGGTCCCCCCCGTGTGGTCCTGGGATTTTTGCTCACCGTTCTTGTGATCATTTTGACCCCATGGGGCGAGATCTTGCGTGGAGCCCCAGATCGAGGGAGATTATCAGTGGTCTTGTATATCTTCCATTTTCTAACTATTGCTCCCACAGTTGATTTGTTCACACCAAGCTGCTTGCCTATTGCAGATTCAGTCTTCCCAGCCTGGTGCAGGTCTACAATTTTGTTTCTGGTGTCCTTCGACAGCTCTTTGGTCTTCACCATAGTGGAGTTTGGAGTGTGACTGTTTGAGGTTGTGGACAGGTGTCTTTTATACTGATAACAAGTTCAAACAGGTGCCATTGATACAGGTAATGAGTGCAGGACAGAGGAGGCTCTTAAAAGAAGGTACAGGTCTGTGAGAGCCAGAAATCTTGCTTGTTTGTAGGTGACCAAATACTTATTTTCCACCATAATATGCAAATAAATTCTTTCCAAATCAGCCAATGTGATTACCTGGATTTTTTTTTCTCATTTTGTCTCTCATAGTTGAGGTCTACCTATGATGCCAATTACAGGCCTCACTCATCTTTTTAAGTGGGAGAACTTGCACAGTTGGTGGCTGACTAAATACTTTTTTGCCCCACTGTACCTTTTCTCATTAGAAGTTAGAGCAGTCTTGTGGCTTCTATCAGTGTTCAGCCAAGCACTAGCTAAAGCTTGTAGGAGGAGTTTTCTTTCTGATCTAGGAGGATGCAAAACCCCTGACCTCTATCTGACCAGTGCTGGTTGGTCCTGTGCTGATCACATACACTTTCCCAATAAAAAAAACAATACACATGAAACTGAGCATGTGCAAAATGCCTACGGTTCAGTCTGTCTTATCAGGAGATAAGAGGTGATCACTTGAACAAGGGGAGGAACAGAGAAATCACGATCAAACAGCCTTTTTACACAATGCAGAGGATTAACCCCTTAGGTTCCACAGTGAGTATAACAAGCATGCTTTACTACACATAGAGGCTGATTTTACTGTGGGTTTAGTACACTTTAAAGCCAAAGTATTAAACCCAAAAGGAAATATATTGCAATTTACCAGTTCTTGGATGTGGTGGGCTGCACTAGCTATCTTTCCCTTATTTTCAGCTGGTGATCTGGTCAGCGTGGCTGTTGTTCTTTCAAGAGAACAAGCTGTCTTGCAGATGTAGCAGTTAATCCAGCCATACATGGATTGAATTTCGATCATGCATGGGCAGGCTGGTTCTACACATGGTAATTTATCAATCAACTTGTGTAGAACTAGCCTGTTGGAAAATTTTCTTTCGACCAGCATTGCTGACTCTAGCTGTCAGTGCTCGTGAGTGCATTCTGACAGCTGGGAAATTTCTCCGCTGTTAAAATGCAAAGGCTCAGCGGGAGGGATTCCCACATCCACATTATGTTTATGGATGAGGGAATCCAGTCATTTTCTTTGGTTCAGTGTATTGCCAGCCTTACAGGGATGAGACAAGCCATTTACCACTGACAGGGGTGCTTACCATGGTCAGCTTTTATTTTTTATGTAAAATCTTTATCTCAAAAGGAAAAAGAAAGCTGTTGCTGTAACTGCTGATAAAGTGTTATAAAGCTTCAATCTGGCTTCAATTTTTAGTGTATTTAAATCTGCTAGTGCATTTAACACTTCCCTTACTCCAGATTGACAATGCTGCTGTTCAAATGTGTTCCTTCACCCAAAGTGTGGGCATTCTAACAGAGGAGGTGTGTTACTGGCCAGATCAGGTGAAAACAGGTGAAAAACCCCAAAAAACTAAAGCTTTAATAATTGGCAGTTATTTATGTACTTTATCAACCTGAATTTCAAGCAGATAGGGTCAACATAAACCTTAAAGTGCATATACAGTATGCCATGACACTGTAAGGCTCTAATTTCAGACACTTCGTTCAACACGATCCAGTGAGCGGAAGCATACACTCATTATGTATTTTTAGCCCACTTTGTTGTGGATATACATGTTTCATGCAGCAAATGCCTGTAAGATGAGCTTGAATAATCTTATAGTTATATGTATACACTCCAAACTGTATTCTGTACTGTTGGATTTTTTTAAAACTGCAAAAAAATAATAATAATGTACATATATATATATACTGTATATACGCACTATATTGCCAAACGTATTGGGACACCCCTCCAAATCATTGGATTCAGGTATTCCAATCACCTCCATGGCAACAGGTGTATAAAATCAAGTGCCTAGGCATGCAGACTGCTTCTACAAACGTTTACAATGCTCAGTGCTGCTCTTTCAGTGCCGCCTCCCTGAACTTTCATTCACAGGAATAAGTTATCTGTAGACAGCTCAGTCTCCAATCAGTCTGTTAACTTGTTGAAGAGAGGGAGAGGAGGAGGGAGGAGCAGGGGAGTGCCTTGCCATCTTTGGCTATGGAGTTGTGTATTTCTAGTGATGTGTGTAGTGTACATTATATTGCCAAACTTATTGGGACACCCCTCAAAATCATTGGACTCAGGTGTTTCAATCACCTCCAAGATCACAGGTGTATAAAATCAAGCACCTAGGCATGCAGACTGCTTCTACAAACATTGTGAAAGAATGGGTCACTGTCAGGATCTCAGTGAATTCAAGCATTGTCACCTGTGCAATAAGTCCATCCGTGGTATTATAACAACGTAGAAGCAACTGGGAACAACAGCAACTCAGCTACCAAGTGGTAGGCCACGTAAAATGACAGAGCGGGGTCAAGCGCACATTGTGCAGAAGTCAACAACTGTAAATAGCTAAAGACCTCCAAATTTCGTGTGGCCTTCAGATTAGCACAATACCAGTGCATAGAGAGCTTCATGGAATGGGTTTCCTTGGCCGAGCAGCTGCATTCAAACCGTACATCACCAAGTGCAATACAAAGCATTAGATGCAGTGGCGTTAACGCATGCCACCACTTGATTCTAGAGAAGTGAAGACGTGCTCTCTGGAGTGACAAATCATGCTTCTCTGTCTGTCTTGTGGAGGGGGGATTATGGTGTGGGGTTGTTTTTCAGGGTTTGGGCTTGGCCCCTTAAGGCGTCAACATGCCAAGACATTTTGGACAATTTCATGCTCCCAACTTTGTGGGAACAGTTTGGGGATGGCCCCTTCCTGTTCCAACTTGACTGCGCACCAGTGCACAAAGCAAGGTCCACAAAGACATGGATGAGTGAGTTTGGGGTGGAGGAACTTGACTGGCCTGCGCAGAGTCCTGACCTCAACCCGATAGAACACCTTTGGGATGAATTAGAGAGGAGACTGTGAGCCAGGCCTTCTCGTCCAACATCAGTGCCTGACCTCACAAATGTGCTTCTGGGAGAACAGTCAAACATTCCCATAGACACCCTCCTAAACCTTGTGGATGGCCTTCCCAGAAGAGTTGAAGCTGTTATAGCTGCAAAGGGCAGGCCAACTCAATATTGAACCCTACAGATTAAGACTGGGATGCCATTAAATTTCATGTGCATGTAAAGGCAGACATCCCAATACTTTTGGCAATATAGTGTGTATATATATATATATATATATTTATATATATATATATATGTCCTCCTTCACCCTTATGTGATTATTTACTAAAGCTGGAGTGTGCAAAATCTGGTGCAGCTCTGCACAGAAACCAATCAGCTTTCAGGTTTTATTGTCAAAGCTTAACTGAACAAGCTGAAATTTGAAGCTGATTGGCTGCCATGCACAGCTGCACCAGATTCTGGGTGCACCAGTTTTAGTAAATCCACCGCTATGTTTCCTAACAGTGTACATAAAGAGTGAAGAGTAATTACAGGCATTCTTTGCATTCTGAGTTTGATGGAATTTTGATTACATAAAGGGATGCTGAAGCTGCAATGCTTCAAATGACAGTACTGAAACTGATCAGGGGTTAGAGAGAAGGTAAAACAATGACAGCAATGAAGTCATTCTCTCAGCAGCTCAACACACATTGCTCTTCGCTACCAAAGTATATGCTTTGTGTTTAAATTAGAGATTAAAAGGCTGGAGTGCTGCCCAGTCACTGCTGAGAGGGGGAACAGGGAGAGCTGAGCGGCTAAGTGACAGACTTGAACAACTTCAGTGCTCCTACTGTAACCTTTGGGAATGAATTGCTCCGCAGTCTCCTGAGCTTCAGAGCTCAGTGACAGCCTGTTTTAAAGTTTATTTACTTGAATACTTGAATGTCCATAGCCTGATCATAGATTCAATTTAAACACCTCTGGAGAAAATTCTGTATCCCTCTCTAGATTGTGGATAAGAAAATAGATATGTTTTATACAAGTTGGGTGTCTCTTTTTTTGTTTCAAGGTTTTGTATTGGGTTTTACCACAATTGTTAGCATAGACAAGAAAAAGCAGTTCTAAGTACTGCCTTAGTAAAATATTAAAGGGCATTGCATGTGCTGAGACCATTAACAAGCCCCAGGCGGCATTAACTCAACCAGCCATAAAGCTGCTTTAGCTGTTAGTCAACATACTAAGTCTGATTATGTGCTAATGTGTGACTGCTTCTTCACCCTTAACCTGTTAATCCTTCAGGGTATTTAGCAGCAGAAGCATATTCTTTATAGAAGACGTATATTAGAACCTATACATTTGTCTCGGTTACAGGTGCACTTCTTAAAGCTATCGTCCCGACTGATGGTTTCTGGGATCTGTTGTCATAAAGTCACCATTCTTAAAAGCAGACTGTCACATTCACTGGTTAATCTTCTAATCACATAAGATGATCATAAACACTGGATGTATGAAGGACTAGAAATGGTGATAGGAATCCCAGCTTACAGTAGTGATACTAGCAAACATATTCATACTGAAATATTTCCCAATTCAGTAACATGTTTGTGTAGTGCTTTGGGTGTGGGGGTATTTTGGGGTTTTATTTCTGTCCTGAGCCTGCTTTGAAAGTACAGCCCCTGCTGACACTACTGTGAATATTTGAGCAGGAGGACTACCTGGCTTTGAACCATAAAATAAACACAGTTTAAAGTGAGCAAATATTCAGGTTATATTGAGGTCAGAATATGAAGAATGCAAGCACAAGAATGACAGTGTATGTGCATAAAAGAAAAGTTAAGCACTCTAAAAGGTTCAAGAAAGTAACAAAACACAATATCACTTTAAGCAACCTCAGATGTCCTGCAGAATTAGAATTTAAACATCAATTCCAGCTTCTGAGATGTCTCTCCTCAAGTGAGCTGGAGCGAACTATCAAGTTGTCAAGCTAACTCACTTTTGGGTTCTCAGTTGTTGGAAATTAATACTTTTGTTATAAGCAATAGTGTCCCCTTTTTGCATCTAAGTAAGGGTGTAAAATCTTCTGTGAGCTTGATGGGGCCCTAATTGATGCACATTACAGTTCAGATCCTTCCTAGTGTGAGCAAGATTTCCTTAAGATGGCATAATCACAGAAAGATTCCCCCTTTGAGTGATGTTGATTTTTGGTAAAGTCTCTTTAACATAAAGGATGAAGGCAAGAATTAGCTAAGATTGTAGAAAGGTGTGGAAGCAGACTTCATCAAAGGTTGACCCCCTAAAGATGGTGAACTAGATGTGGTGAAGAAGGTTCCTTTGAAGTTGGAAGAGGCTTGAAATGAGATACTAGTGTAATCCTATCTGCAGGGGGCATGTGCTGTAGCCAGAGTGGTTTCAGGGTGTTAACGAGGCACTAAAGCAGTAGGCCTCAGTGTGATTAACTGTGGTGTAAGGTGTACTGAACTGGACAAGTTAAATTAACACAGTCACTCGCAACTTGAGATGATCTGGGTATGGAAACCTCTCACCCGATCTGTAGCCTTTGTAGCATAAGAGGTAGTCTGTCAGTTGGGGGGGGGGCTATTCTTTGGGCCCTCTATTAAGGAGCAATGCCGATGACAGCACTATGATCTGCCTGCCCTGCTCAGCAGTGATACCATTGGTCTGCAGTCCTGTACTCCTCCGCGCAGCGGCCCATTCCAGTCCGGATCTTCAGAGTCCTGCACAGCCTTCTCCACACACACCCATCCTCCACCTCTGACCATTCACTTCTTTCCTGTTTTCTGTTCTTGCTTCTCAATATATATGCCCCCACCACCTCTCCTGGGAAATGTAGTCTGGTCACTCCCTATCTGAGTGCATAAGTCCTGCTACCAGCGTACAAGTCCAACAAGGCTTTACTTCAATAGAGTCTGCATAACTGAACCACAGAACACTGCCATCCTGTGTTTAATTAACATTCTGCAATCAGTATTCATGCAGGGTGTTACATTTGTTTCCTGCTTGTCATTGTGCAGTGTTTTGTCCAGAAGTGTCCGAACTATGAACATATACTATTTACATTTCTTAAGCAGCAGTAAGGAGCTTTAAAACATGCCCATGCTCCTCTAAAACTGCTTGTAGTGCAAAGTACTTGTCCTCATTCACATGACCAATTAGGGAAATGCATCGCCAAGCGGCACAAACTGCCTGCATTTATGGAGACTTATCGGTCCATAATCACATGTAACAGCACAGCCAAGGGGCCCATCAGCATGTCATTGAGTTATATAGGGTTTTTGGCAAAGGCTGATCGCAAGCATCTGTGATCCCTGCTGCAGACATACACTGGTGATAGGCAGGGCACGACTCTAATTGGCCATGTGAATGAAGTCTTTCATTCTCAAAGATAGTCAAAAATCACAACAAAGGCTCTGAAGTCTGGTTTCTAACAGTTCAAAAACATCAGGCTGAAAGATTCTGCTCTCACTGAAAAAGCCAAGATTTCAATGCCAATGTTGTGAACTTTAAATATGAATTTCTGCACAATGCCTATAGATACAGAGGTCATTGAGTGCTTGTTTGTTTTAAAGTGCTTTCAAGGCTTGTTCAGAATATGTGCATGATATGAGCGAGAGTAAAGGTAGGTATATGGCACAATTAGTGTTGTGTGTATACTGTATAATAAGTTCTGAAAAAAGTCCATAAGTCCAATTGGAACATTCAGACTTCTTGCTGGCTTTAGACACTTGATGCAGCCACTTCTTAGGGACTAAAATGGCTCTGGGTAAACAGAGATAGGAAATAGATTAAAGTATAGCAAAACCCAAAAAACAAAAATATCATATATTTTAACATTTTTTTCCCTTTATTTTCACCTGCTGATTCTGCCAGTAGCACTTGTTCTGTCTTAGGATGAGAACACTCACTCTATCCCACCTCTCTTTTATTCTTACGTATCCTAAGGTAAGAAGCATAGTTCTGTAGTCCTCACAGAAAGCTGAGAACAAAGGAAGATAGTACAGAAAGTTATCAGCTCAGATTTCCTGTAGGATCAACAAGTATTTTTTTCATTTATTAAACAAATATAAAAAAAACACTCTCTATTGTATATTTAAAGTGGCTATAAGGTTGTTGTTTTTTTTTTTCTTTAAAATACCAAACATGTCACACATACCTACTCTGTTTGCACTGAGCAGCCCGGATCCTCCTCTGCTTGGTGCCCTGTCGGCACTTGTAGCCCCTCCCTCCTGCTGAATGCCCCTGGAGCAAGCTGCTTGCTCTGGGGGTGCTCATGCGTGCTTGCTCCCAAGCCACCTCTGTGTCTATGGGACACACAAAGCGTGGCTCAGTTACGCCCTTCACTCCCTCCTCACTGGTTGTAAATGACAGCAGTGGGAACACTCTCAGCACAGAAAACTGTTTAGATCAGGTTACGCTTATAGTCTCTCAGGGTTAAAGCCCACTTGCCAATATATATGCGTACCATTGGCAAAAAGAGGTTAAAACACTGACCACAATCACAGAAACATTCCCTAGTAAACTATTTGGTAAAATTATTACCCCAGTATGTGTCGTTTACAATGTTCAGTGCTGCTCTTTCAGTGCCACTTTCCTGAACTTTCATTCACAGGAATAAGTTATTAGTGGACACTTCAGTCTCCAATTAGTCTGTTAGCTTGGAGAAGGGAGTGAGAGGAGGAGGGAGGAGCAGGGGAGTGCCTTGCCATCCTAAACTTTGGAGTTGGGTATTTCTAGTAATGTGTGTAGTGTAGGGAGACACAACCCTAGTCCCTAAACTCAAGAGTGGCTTAACTGGATGCTGGAAGGAAAAGGAGCCACCCTGAAACAGGAACCCTGAGGTAGTGATCATGGCTTCACCTTAAACTGCATCTTTTTTACAAGATAAAAAACTGCATACCCAGTAAGTACATCAGCTGCTGAAAGTGCTTCATTTAACTGTGGGGTTTATTATTACTTTAAGTAGTTCAGATGTCATAGGCACAAAAGGAATGCCAAGGCAGGGGTCTGGAAGGTATCTGACTTCACCTAGACCCGACTAAAGCTGTCTGGCAGCTATTATGTGTATGGAGCCAGAGTGGGAGAATTGTACGTGTCCATTCCCACATATCTATTTTGCTATTCTGCTATTACATTGAATTACACAGTATCTGGTTATTGTTCTGATATATGCTGGCATCTAGTGGTTGTTTAGGAGCACTACAGCTTGTGCATTTGTGATTTGGTACATCCTTCTGTCTCTCCCTTTCTGTTCAGTGCTAGTTAGTATATTCCTAGCTAAACCCTCCCTGTTTTTTCATGTTTCCCTCCTTACACTTCATAAGCCTGGATAAACATCCTCTGTACTTCACGTTTGTGAAACAAAATTGTATTCAAGTCAATTTTCGTGTCTTTTTGCAGAGTTAAAGTGATACTAAGCCCAGGACACTGCATTCACTATATCTGGTCTCCCACAGTACACAGAACATTGAAGTGCAATTATTTTAGCAAATATAAACTGCTAAATACCTTTTCTCATCAGCAGTTCCAGCAGTCTTGTAACTTCTATCAGTGTCCAGCTGAGCACTGCTTAAAATTTGTAGGAGGAGTTTTTCTTTCTGCTTTAGGAGGATGTAAAACCCCTGACCTTTGTCTGGGCAGTGCTGATTGGCCCTGTGCTGGTCACATGCACTCTCCCAAGAAAAAAAAGAAACTTCTCTAGCAATACACACTAAACTGAGCATGTGCATGTAGCTATGGGTTCAGCCTGTCTTATCAGGTGGACATTTGAACAAGAGGAGGGGAAGAGAAGTCAGGATCAAACGGCCTTTTTACACAATGCAGAGGATTAACACCTTAGGTTCCACAGTGAGTATAACAAGTATGCTTTACTGCATATACAGACTGATTTTACTGTTGTGGGTTTAGTAACACTTTAACCTCTTCACGCCAACAGTATGCAAAAATATGCGGATTAACCTCTCAGTGGAGCTGAGCTGCATATTTGCATTTACCATTTGTAAACAAACATGTGCTGCAAATATGAGCTCGTGAGCTGCATATTTGCGCACTCCCAGTAAACAAACATGTGTGAGAGTTGGTGTTGCGCACATGGATATGTGTTGGTGTCCCATGGAAAGGTCCCAATCTCTCCTTGCGATTGGGACCTTTCCAATCATGTGACTGCCATGACAGGCAATCACGGCAGTAACATGACCCTAAACCCTGCCCCGCCTACTGGGGTCAGAAACCCTTTAACCTCCCTGGAGGCATAACTACTCAATATTTTTGGTACATTGTTTTGCATGGAAATTTGTAGTTTTATATTGTAGGCCTGTAATTTTCAGGAATAACTCACTTAAATCTGTCCAAACAAGAGTCTAGTAGACATCCCGGGTATGATAAAGTTTGAAACACAAAATCATAAATTATAATATAATAAATAATAATAAAAAATAATAATCATAAATTTAATTCAATAATGTAATCAAACCAAAAACACTGAAATTTGAAATAGAGCACCAAGTTCGCACATCACTGAGCAAAGTCGCAGAATCGTTTTCAGTGTCTGATGACGAATTTCCCCACGAATCATTATCACTCAATTCTGCAAGTGATTCTAATTCACTATCGTTCTCTAGCTGGTCTAAAACTGCTTTTGACCTAAAGGGACGCTTTTTGGATGCCATGGACGTTTTCAAGTTTCCAGGCAGAAAGAACGGTAAAAGTGCAGGCAGGGCACAGGACAAAGCACTCGGGACAAAATGTATGTGAAATGCTTTGATACAGTAATGTAATCCTAACAGATTACAATGTATTGTGTGTATATCATGTTTTTACTTTTTTGAATCTCCTGCCTGTTCCTCTCCCCTACGTCCTGACGCTCTCAGGGAACAGAACCCGAAGAACGGATCGACCAGAGGACAAGGCTGGGGACACAGCAGGAGGACATTGCGGGATCGCAGGACAAGGTAAAGATCGGGGGATCGCAGGACAAGTACTTTAGAGTAATCCCAAGTGTGGCTCGGGGGTTACCTCTTTTGGTACTGTAAATTAACCCTGAGCCACACTCGGGATTACCACTAGGAAGGTTAAAGGGCCAGGAGGCGCCGGCGTGAAGGGATTAAGTTATCTGTGGATGGTGCCAAATGAGCAGTGACCATACTGTCCAGTTAGATCTATGGATGTATGTCAATCAGGGCGGACTGACCATTTGAGCACTCAGGCACCGCCCGAGGGCCCGGGCTCAGTAGGTGGCCCCATAAGATGCCCCTGGTACCTTTCATTGGCCTTTTCATAGGCTTTTTTTTCGGTTTGGGCGAGGACACAGGGGCCCCATGATCCCCTATTGCCCGGGGGCCCCATGAATTGTCAGTCCGCCCCTGATGTCAATGCATATAAAATATTTATGCATTTAAAACAGAACAGGAAGTACACACTATACTATTCCACCAATACAAAAAAATGCGCCAGAACAGTAACAATGAGCTCCTAATGTAGATTGCAGTGACAGGCCGGTGACACTTGGGAACCTTTTATGATGAGGGAATGTGTTACTGACAGTAAGCAACATGATGTGCGGGAGGCTTTGTGCCACCTCTCGCAGCCCTGCTACCCTAGGCCATGGAATTTATTATGTGCAAATCCGGCCCTGGCTGCTCACTGTTCTTCAACTTTCCTGCTAAACAATTCAATAGCTGTTTAAAGATTAATACATGGGAAAAAAACTAAACACACTAGTAAACAGAAATTGGGAATGTGGATACCCTTTGGACTGAACAACTGTCCCACTATACTGGAGTACCAAAGCTCCCAACAATACAGTATGGTCTGCACGACTAAACAGCAGGATTAATACAAGGTTCCGCCATTAATTGGTAAAGTCAAGGCATTAGGCCTGGCATAGAATTTTGTAATCTGCCTCAAATCTCTGGCTCTGTTATTGTTGGATGATTATAGAGTGATACAAATAAGCCAAAGACATATTTATCTCTTCTGGGCTTTTATTTAAAAAAGAAAAAGCTAACTGCTGCGTCTGAGCTGCCAAGGTGCTGTTGGCTCAGGGATGATTATTACCACAACCATAATTATGGGCCCAGTGCAGACATAAGAATGTCTTTGTATGGTGAAGACTCTGTAAATACCGGAAGAGTTTGCTCTGTTTAAAACCCAAGTTTCTGTTTATGCCGTCCCATTCCCCAGATCAGGCATGCAGATCTACAGTGTACATTGCGCAATAACTAATCACCATAATGTAGCTCAGTGTAATGTTACCTAGCAGGGAGACACGGCCAGACTTTACAGCACTTAGAATAACTGAATGTTTATTGTGAAGAATGTTGAAGATTGCCAGACTGTTTCATAATGCTTAGCTTCACAGTCACCAGAATGACTCAGCATTTGGACTCGATCCCTGAGGTTTTCAGCAATGTATGGGCTTAGTTAGAAGATGGTGATGGGCTTAAAGTTTATTTCCACTTTTGCAGCCAAATTGCTGTTTACCTTTTTAACTACTTTTTTTTCTTGCTAAGTAGTTAGCTTTCTCTTCTATGTAATTTTAAAGAAGGGGCTGTGGGAAGTTATGCTTACCACATGTAATCCTGTCTGTGGTCGGCAGATTTCATTATCAGTTGTAAACTGAATTTGATCGCTGTCTGTCCTAACATAGGGTTAAAGATTTCAAGGCTTGAATTCTGCATTGTGTGTTACTGCACTATATAAAATTATCCATGATCTTTATCTGTCATCTATTCAAGATGCTTGCCTATAGTGTCCTATGTATAAACCTAGTCCAAGGAATAAGCTAAAAAGGCAAAATTTGTAATTATTTTACGTATGCTGTATGCATGGGAACACCTACAAACTGGAAAGGCTGATGGTAGTTGTAGTTTTCCCACTCACAGAACTCTATGAATAAATTATGCCAGGCTCGAGCTGGGACAAGAAACAAGCCCGGGAATTTACGACTTAGCAGGACTGAGCCCGGGGGCCCTTCCCTTGGAGCCTGGGGGCGGAAACACTAGGCCCGGTTGCAAGAACGACTTTTGTAACCCTGGTAGTTTGCCACTAGTGTCAGTAGTTTTATATATATATATATCTATCTATATATATATATAGATATATATATATATATATATATTAACCTTTTCATTTTACTTGTTTTTACAATTTTATTTTTTTATTATTTTTTACAATTCTCTTTAGGAGCCTCATTAGGGGGTTTTGGTGAGATATCAGGGATCTAAACAGACCCCTGACATCTCACAGCCCTCAATCTCCATCTCTGCAATCTCAGCAGCACAAAATGAATGGGCAGGAATAGCTCTGTACAGCCATGGGGCAGCAGAAAGAGGATGGATACGAGGGGCGGCGGAGTGGCATATAGAGGAACCGATTAATCCATTTTCCTCCTGCAGCTGCTGAATGTCTACAGGAGGGAGAGGAGGAAAAGTGGTGGTGGCAGGAGGAAAATGGATGGATTGGTTCCTCTATATGCTTCCCTGCCCCCCTTCTAGCTAGCCAGCTCTTGTTGAGAAATGCAGCCTGGCGGCCCTGGCCCACCGGGCTAATTCACAATGTGCCCTATGTCCAGTCCAGGCCTGAATGGGCAGGTAGAGCCCCGCACTACCACGATTTTTAAAAAAATTGTGACAGAAAGTTCCAGAAGAAGATCCTGACTCACTGTCACTAGAACTGGCAGATCAGGAGAGCATCCTAAAAATGGATGGAACATGTAACATGTTCCCAAAGGTGAACTTATCCTTTAAATATAGGCACATATGTACCAGTGGGTGTTGCAATGCAGCTCTGAGATCCGGTAGACATGATGTTGACATATATAATCATTTAACCACTTTCCAACCGCCCTATAGCAGAAATACTGCTACAGGGTGGCACGGGTGCAGAAAGTCACGTGATTTTGCATTTCCGGGTAGGAGGCGCACACACGCCCTACCCGTGCCACCGTTTGCGGGCATGGCTGTCAGCGAGTCACCAGTGATTATTGCTGGCATCTCCAATGGGGAGGAGAACTGTTTGTAAACAAAACAGTTCTCCCTGTCATACCGTGCACACTGCTTTGGATGGCTGTGTACAGCACAGCCATGCAAAGCAGTGCGCTTACAGTGAAGCACACGGACATAGACACAAGTAAAACAGCACACAATTAACCCTTTGATCGCCCCTCATGTTAACACCTTCCTGTCCAGTGTCTTTAGTACAGTCAGTGCTTTTTATTAGCACTGATCATTTTATTAGTGTCACTGGGGATGTCAGTGACACTGTCAGTTCCCCCCAGTGTCAGAATGCCTGCCACAGTCCCGCAGTCCTGCTATAAGTCGCTGATCGCCGCCATTAATAGTAAAAATAAAAAATAAATTCCAGTATATATACTGCTATGTGTAATTGCTATAACTTTCACATAAACCAATTAAGTTACACGTATTGGGATTTTTTTTTAGCAAAGACATGTAGCTGAATATATTTTGGCCAAAATTTATGCCGAAATTTGATTTTTAAATTTTTTTTTTCCTAGACATGTTTAATAGCAAAAATTCATGGAAAAAAAGAACATAAATTTAATTTGGGTGCAGCGTTGCATGACCGCGCAATTGTCAGTTAAAGTAACGCAGCGCCGTAATGCAAAAATGGGCCTGGTCAGGAAGGGGGGTAAATCCTCAGGAGGGCAAATCTAAAAACACAAATCGGATGACATTTTGCTACAATACTGTTTTCACCCTTTTTCATCCGTTAGCAAATCAGTGCTGCCTCTTGCAGCAACTTACTGTAGGCACTCACAGCTTCAGTTGCACATCATTGCTCTGAACTTGCTGGTATGATGGATCATGACTGTGCATTTTCTGTGACCATAGATGCTTATAGTCTCAGGCAGGGGCACAATTGGTCAATGTGACAATGTAAGAGCACAATGGGGAGACAGTTGTCATCCTGTAACAGAAAGTACCTGAACAAGGACCTTCAGGGCAGGTTTTCTTTAAATGAAAGCTGCATACAGTATTTAAACAGATTTTTTTTTAAATTAAATTGCTCAAATATGTTTACAGTTATATGATATTTTGGGTTTGGTATACGTTTAGGTATACTGAACAATTTAAGATATGGAGGTCATCAAATAGGGATACAGAGGGGCTACCCATGTAAAATAGAAGAGTCCAATGATGCCCTTTACTAGTTAACTATATGGGCAGATTGTGGATATGTAACCTGCAAAGCAAAATATCTGTCAGAGCAGATTTTTTAAAATGTTTGTTTATTAAGGCAAATTAAATTTTGAATGTTAAGTAACCATGTAATTTTCACTATTTAATCATTATATAAATTAATATTAAACATTGTTTGATTCTAGTGCAGCGCTTGTACATTTTCCTTCATTATCTGAAATGTTAATAACCATATCCTCACTGGATATCCTCATTATGTAACTCTACCATATGGGCAGCTGAATTACATTCCAAATACAATGAAACAATTGCACGTGTCTATCAGGGATGCAGTTTAAAGGAAATGAAAGAATTTAGAAAAAGGAAATTAAGGGTTTTCTTTCTCTACAGTCTTCAATCCATTTAAATTACCTTGCAAAGTTTGAATTCTTGTGCATGTTAGAAAACATTCTTAGGGCAAAGACATCCAACAAAGTAGATTTTTGTGGTGGGTTCATTATTGAAGAAAGTCTTTACACTTGCCCTATTCATCTAAAGGGTCAGTCATTCCAAAATATACAGTATCTGCATTTATGAATAGAGTTGGGTGGGCTGATTCACCTGCTAATGACTTCTAAAAAGTATCTCTTGAGAACTCTTGACAGCAAAATCTTCAAACAGGAAGTGTCAGAACTTTTTCTGATCAGAATGATCAGAAGAGTCACTAAATCTATCTCTTTTTGACCACATGAGCCCCCAGCCAATTCTGACATTCCTCTCTTACATGCAAATTTCAGCATTTGTTTGCTAGAAAATTACTCATAATCCCCATATATATATATATATATATATATATTTTTTTTTTTTTTTTAAGCAGAGGCACTAAAGCATAAAATGGTGGGTCTTGCCATTTTTTACGTTACATGGTATATGGAAATTTGTCATTTTTTTGGAAAAAATACTCTTTAATAAATTTTAGTGCACACAAAAACAATACATTACCCAATTGTTTGGTAAGATTTGAAAGATGATGTTACGCTGAGTAAATAGATACCAAACATGTTGCGCTTTAAAATTGAGCACGCCCGTGGAATGGCGGCAAACTGTGGTACATTAAATTATCCATAAAAATGTTTACAGATTATCACTTGAAACATGCACGGGGGGTCTGGTGCCAGAATTATTGCTCTTGCTCTGACGTTCGCAGTGATACATTACATATGCGGTG